TTTGCGAGTGAGGAATCTGGTCATTGCTTTTGGGGCCAGCGACAACAGCACGCACTTCACATCATACTTTACTCAAGTAAAAGCAGCAGCGCGCATGTCGCATATGGGCAAGTACGTGGCAATATCTGTATATGTATCGTACCAAACTGCAGGTTGGATATGATAATCGCCATAAGAACTGTTGGGATTCAGTTATTTTGCCACCAGCACGGAACAGCGCTGGGCTGCACGAGCCGAGGGTGTTAGAGTGTACGTGAGAACTGCTGACACGTCCAAGTAGAGACAGAAGACTGAAGATCTCTTGTGCGTCCCAGTAGAATCAGTTGGATTTCAAACACAGCGTGACACTGAGCGATACTCAGTAGTGTCGTCGTGCAACGTTCTAGCAATGCAGTTCTGGTACTGTACATGTATTCTGCAAGTAGATCTGTAGCAACACCGACAAAGTTCGCAAGGCGTATAGCAGCATCTACTTACTGCAGGATGCCCACCGACTGATTCAGGTGAGCTGATCATACATGTAAGCTTAGCGCTTTCCACGTCAAAGCACCGATGACAATATACCCTATCGATAGGAGCCTCAACAAAGCTGCGTGTCCTCCCAAAAATATGTTGTGACGCCTACTTTTTTCACTCTTGAATGTCTTGAAGTGACCCACATGCTCACTTCAAGTGAGCATGTGAGGCTGGATGCGCCGTGACAAAATACTACAGAGCGTCGCTTATGTCCCTTGGTCCAGGCACAACTTTTATCGTTCGCTGGCTTAAAGTACCACGGAAGCTTTTTGCCGGGCTGGAAGCGCCTCCTAGCCTCCTTACTAAGAAAATGACACTCCCCGTGCAAGGCCGTTCGCTGCAAGATTCCACCCGTGACCCCGTAATATTTCCAATACAGACCAAGTTGTCTTCCGGGACGGTAAACCAGTGCAGCTTGTGCATAACTAAATACGTCGTCGCTCCTTCATTCATTTTCAGTAGCCCGAACGCTTTCAATGCTGACGGCATGTAGAAAAGTTTGCCGCCTTCAAAACAGTAGCCACTAACTAGCATGATCCTGCTTCGAACTCCAAGAGCCGTGTCAGCACAGCACGGTTCGGA